GCATTATATAATATGAAAACATCGACGGATGAGGTTGATAAGTGCGTCATTGATTATATTACTTCAAAAAAAGATTCTCAGACAAACAAAAATAATAGCGATCTTGATTTTTTCAAAAGCTTATTACCTGATATATCTAAAATGACAGATTATCAAAAAAGACAGTTTAAGAGAAGAACACTTGATACTATAGATTCAATTTTGGACGATTCGCCAACACAGAACACTATTTCATATGTTCAACGACCTTTATCCAGCTATTCCGGAAGTTCATATTCAGCACTGAGTCCTGAGCCACCCGTGGGGACGGTCGGATTTCAACAGTTGGGGAATTTTCAGTCAGAAGACTACGAACGAATTAATAATAATCCGACAACAGTACAAAATTACCTCCATACATTTACTGAATAGTATGTTATATTATTTAAATAAAAATAAATATTAAAATTTAACATTACCTGAGTGTTATTAATATTTTTTCTCTTGCACTTATAGCTTCTCTGAAATTGGTATCACGTTTTGTAATACTATGTTCAATTAAATTCAAAAGTTGTTTAAATGTATCTGGGCTCATTCTATAACAGCTTTTGAACTGCAGTGGATGAAGTTTAAGTTCATCTGCATAGACATTTGCACCATATTTTGCAAGCTGTTTAAACGCTGGGTTAATCCAATATTTACGTTTTTTATTTTTTATTTTTCTTCTTCTTAAATTCCACCAGAATAATAAAATATCGTCTTCATCAGACGATGACATGGTTGCTACTGCGTTGCTTATATTTGAGAGCTAGGGGCAATACGTATTGTCTGTTGATTATTGTTAATTGCTAGTTGCTCGTTGCCTATTGCTCCGGTGTGAGAGCCGCCTTAGTGTCGGTACAGTGAAACGGATAACTTCTGACACTCAGTGAGCTGCGAGAACGGGTAAAACATTTAAAACCGAAAGATAAAAGATATGACCATGATGAAATTGCTTTGCAAATGGGGCATGAAGTCATACGTCTACCCCCATATCATTGTCAATACAACCCGATAGAGTTGATATGAACCTAAGTTAAAGGTGAAATTGCAAGTAAAAACAATAGTTTTAAAATCACAGATGTTGAAAACTTGGTATATATTGCCATAGAAAATGTTACTGTAGACAATTGGAAACGTTGTGTTGATCATTGCGAACGTCTTCAAAATGAAGACTTTATTAAAGAAGGATTCAGGGACCAGATTTTAGAGCCAATAATTTTGACAATTAACCCGGAAGACAGCAGTGAAAGCGAGGACGACGATGAATCACTTCAATTGTAAATATAAATGTTATAATTATTGTAAATTTTAATATTAAAATATCAAAAGAAAATGTATATTTTAGTGTATTATAATAAATAATATAAATTATAATAAAATAATTATTTTTATTCATATTTATCAAAAATCGTGCAGTATTCCTAATTGCCGCGTATTGTGTGCAAGTTTAAGAAACTGTGGCGGAACACAGAAATTTCGCCACTGGATGCGCCACTACGGAGTCGCTAGTTTCGTGAAACATACTTTAGGGTATTCACTTACAGCGAGTTTCACCAACCTAGGGTATTTACTTACAGCGAGTTTCACCGGTGCTAGTATAATATTATAACGTGTGAATTAACTTATCACCGACGACGAAGTGTTAACACAATAATTTGATAATAGAATAAATGATATTACAATCACTATCGTCGTGATGATAAATAATATAATAATAATAATAATAACACTTGGACAAACACGATATAATAAAATCGTGGTACAATTTGTATAATAATATGAAATATAAAAAAAATGACAGTATTTACATGACTCCGTTTCAATGCAGATATTGCCGTTGGCAGGTGACCAATTGACGGCGACAGTCAGGCCACTGGTCAGCTGTTTCTTCTTCCTGTGCGTGACGGCACAACAACGGGCAACCAAAACAATGATAATAAATTGATAGTAAACGGCACTTGCAATTTACACAGGCCGGCCGATCGTTACACGACGGAGATCGTAATATAATATTATATTAACACGTTGACGGACAGTCAGAAATACCATTTTGTTCTACAGCCATACTTTAAAATGTCACTTTTTCATTACTGTTATAGCAGTGAAATTAATATTACTGCTATAGCAGTTATGCCTTTATACGCCTAAATTTTTATGTACATATGCCAAAATCATTAAATTACTGGTATAGCAGTATTATAATTTTTTATTAATTTTTTCGATTTTTGCCCTTTATTTTTATCAACAAATGCAAAATAAATCTTAATTTAATTACATTTAAATTTAAATATTAGATTATTATTTTGTGGAATGGTACATTTCAAAATATCTTCCTGGACATAATGGAAAAACACATTGTTTACATTGAAGATATGTTTGTCTGGGTGTAACAATATAGACAATTTTTATAACATTTTTTTCTTTTGTAACCCTGTGGAATTGGTATATTCTCTTGAAAATGAGAACTGTCAGCAACGTTTGTAAGTTTTTTTCTTCCTTTTTTATTTTTATTTGCTATAGAAATTTCATAATTTGTAATATTTGAATGTAGCGAAACCTAACCTAACCTCGGATCACTCAGCCGTACTTTTAACAGTTAGTGCATCCCCACCAATCCGCTCTTCACCACCCAAACTATTTCAGCCGAATACAGATAGGTGTAGATTCCACGAACTAGTTGATCAAAATATAGACATGAAGGTTAGCCTCAAATCAACTCAAGAAATTGATGATGCAATAAATAAGTTAACAAATGTAATTCAAACCGAAGCTTGGGAGGCCACACCTTACTCAAGCGCAGATTTTTAACAACTCTTTTTCAATTCCAGAACATATTCGCATCCTGATAGCTAACAAACGCAGAGCTAGGGCCTTGTTTCAACGCTCTCGTCTTCCATCACATAAACAAAACTTTAATAATCTGGCTAATTCTCTAAAAAAAAATACTTTCTAAACATAAAAACCACTTTCAAGTCAATTATCTTACTAATTTGTCACCAAATAAAAGTCTTTGGGATGCTACTAAAAAGTCCCTAAAAAACGTAGCACCAAACACCCCGTTAACTAAACCAGATGGCAGTCTCGCCTCCTCAGATGCTGATAAAGCTGAACTACTTAAAATACACCTAGCTGAAACATTTAGCCCTCACACTGAGATACAAACCCCTCAAAATACCAAGTTAGTTAAACAGTACCTAGATAGTCCCCTTCCTCTCTATCTACCAACTAAATCGTTTACTCCAAATGATGTTAAATATGCTATACAGAAATACAGTCTTAAGAAATCTCCGGGCTATGACTTAGTCACTGCGGAAGTAGCCAGGTGTCTCCCAAAAAGAGCAATCGTTCTTTTAACAGTCTTATATAATGCTGCAGTAAGATTGACATATTTCCCTCTACTTTGGAAATTTTCAATCATTATTCTATTCCATAAACCTAAAAAGCCTCCTGATCTACCTTCTTCCTATCGACCTATAAGCCTCCTGCCCTTCTTCGCTAAAATATTCGAAAGACTTATACTAAAAAGAATCCTTCCTTGTATCTACTCTAGAAACGTACTTCCTAATACTCAATTTGGGTTTCGTGCCAATCACTCCACAACTCACCAGCTGCATAGATAAGTTGATGCCATATCTTTTTCACTGGAAAAAAAAAAATACTGCTCTTGCGTATTTCTTGATGTGTCGCAAGCATTTGATCGTGTCTGGCACAAAGGCCTTCTCTATAAATTAAAACTTTTTCTTCCGCCAACATACTACTTGCTGATAAAATCATATTTAATCGACCGTCACTTCCAAGTCAGGTTTGGTTCTTCCTTCTCAAACATAGCAAACATTAATGCAGAAGTCCCTCAGGGTGGCATTCTTTCGCCAATTTTATATAATATATATGCCGCTGATCAACCTACCTCTCTAAATACAACTGTAACTGAGTTTGCGAATGACAAGGCAATTATAGCGATGCATGAAGATCCAATTTCTGCTTCTCAAAACCTTCAACATCACCTTAACTTACTGTCTGATTGGTACAATAATTGGAGAGTTAAAGTAAATCAATCTAAGTCACTACACACTACCTTAACTCTTCGCATTGCTCCCTGCCCAGAAGTTTCCTTAGCTGACATACCTATACCTGCATCTCAATCTGTTAAATACTTAGGACTAACCATTGATCGTCGCCTCACCTGGGCACAACATGTAAGGGAAAAAAAACTCGCCCTAAATGCACGTATTCGGTTGCTCAAAACACTATTAACTAACAAACACACTAAATTAAATATAAAATTGCTTATTTACAAATGCTTAATTAAGCCTATGTGGACATATGGGCTCTAACTGTGGGGTAATGCAAAAAAATCCAATCTCAACAAAATACAAACCGTACAAAACAAAATCTTGCGCTCCATCACCAATGCTACTCCTTATGTTTCAAATTTTACTCTCCACTCTGACTTAAAAATGAAAACTATACACGAAGAAGCCAGAACGTATTACAAACGTTTTTTCAACAAACTGTCTGCTCACTCAAACCCTCTAATATCCGGTCTAGCCACTCACACGATTCCTGGAAACCCTCCACGGCGTCTAAAAAGAAACTGGTGCAGAGACCTGCTTAATGAATAACAGAGAAAAAAAAGGTTAGGTTTAAAAAAAAAAAAAATGCAATAATAATTAAAAAAAATATTTAGTTACACAAATTAGGAAGTGCTATCACTGGATGGTTTCTTCCCTCACCCTATTCATGTTTTTTTTTTTTAATATAATGTAGCACATATTCTCATTATGCCTATGGGTATAGATTGTATATTCTCTAATAAAAAAAAAAAAAAAAAAATTTATTATGTCCCTAAAATCCTTGAAAATTTTATTTTCAGCATTAAATTCTTTTTTGTATATATAATAAGTGTTCCATACAGCAATGTCTAATAAATGAAGTATAACTTTCTTATACCATTTACATGTTTTTCTGGGTGAACTGTATTAGCTAACCATTTGGTCACATTTATCAACTCCACTCATTTTTTCATTATAGTTTACAATTTCTATAGGTTTTAACTTTTGTTGCCCATATTTATTGGTTGATGTGATGATTTGTGGATGATATTTGGTAGTGATAATTGTGACGTCACACTTGTCTTTCCATTTTGAAATGTAAATTTCATTTTTTCTCTGCCATACGTGATCACCCTTTTTCAATTTCTTTTTAGTTACCTCTTCAGGATTTCCTTTTCTATTGCTTCTTAAAGTTCCCGTACTATGTGTTTTTTTTTTTAATAATAATTCGGAAAGAGTAGTGCTGTTATAATAATTGTCCATGAATAAACTGTGGCCTTTGCATAAAAATGGATCCATAAGCTTAAGGACTAGGCTATCTGTTTTAGAATTTGTTGACGGCAATAAATAATTATTTTTACCTTTATAAACTTCAATATTTAACACGTATCCATTAGAATCACATAGTTCAAAAAACTTTATCCCATATTTTGCCTTCTTGCCCTTTATATATTGCCTAAAGCTTAATCTTCCGCGATGTAACAGTAGTGACTCGTCTAAAGATAAATCTTCTCCCGGGTAAAATGCTTTTTGAAAATTTGCAATTAGTATTTTGAACAGTGGATTTAATTTGCTCATTGGGCCAGTATCTGTGGATAGACTTGAATATTCAACGCTAAAGTACGCGAGAAGCTGTTCAAAACGTCGTCCTGACATGGTGTATTTTATTATTGGGTGATAGTATAATGGATTATTTGAGAAAATATCACGCAATGATGGAAATTTTAATGTACCCATAAGCATTAACATTTCAAGAAATTTTTTTTATTTCTTCTGGGTCAGTTTCAGTAAATTTAGATTTACGAGAATATTTTCCATGGAGTCGATTTTTATTTTTTTGATCTAATCCGTATGCATTTGTAGATTTTACAATAATGTCAATAACTTCTTTAGTCCCAATTTGATTAAATATTTCAATTGGGGAATGACGAGCAGTGTCTTCAATATTTAATTTGATTCCACTAGTAGTAGTATCAAAATTAAAATCAGATATAGATATATAGTCATCCTTCCATAATGTGTCAGTTGAATTAGAATCAAAATTATTAGTATCGCTATCATCGCTAGATGTGTTGTCAAATGAATTTTCTTCGTTAGAATAATCAATTTGATTTTGTAACGTACCTGTCGAAGGGCCAGGAGTAGACAAATTATCTAAACTTGAGCTTAGACTTGGACTTGGATTTGTGTTTTGATGACCTGGTAGAAAAGTTAGGTCATTGTCAGTATCATCCGTAAAAAAAGAACTGTCAGAATTAAAGTCAGTGTCTGACAAAAATTGGTTTATTCGATTTTCTTCACGATCAGTCATTTTAATTTTTATATAGGACACGAATAATATAATAAACATGAAACTATTACTAACTATTACGCCGAACAAGCTGAATATATCTGATAAATATTGCCACGCGCCCATAAAGAGAAATGTTGTTTTTGATATTTGATAAATATTATTGGAATTACCTATGTGAACTTATAAATAAAAATTCAATTTAATTCGACAGTGCCCAAATGCGCAATATGCTTAATGTGGGCAACACAACTTCCTCTTTCATAAGAAACCATTGGAATTTTTACTGCTATTACCAAATGCCAGTTTTAAGAAGGTTTTTAGAGTACTGCTATAGCAGTAATATTTTAAACTGCCATGATAGACACAAATGGAGGATTACTGCTATAGCAGTAAAATTGATCGAGTGTCCGTCAACGTGTTAAGGCTAGGTTCACATGAACGCGCGTATACGCGCGTTAGCACGCCATAAAACGCACGTTCACCATTCAGATGGCTGCGTGTCACGCGCGTTGTACGAGAGGGTTCTAGTCAAAAACTATATTAAAAAAGATATATAGTACAGTTCAGACCGTCGTCGAGAATAGATGTGATAGATGCTGGGTGTTTGTGGGGGGGCCATCCACCAAAGAATGAGAAGACGCAGACAAATGAGGAATAGAAAATATTGGGTTCATCCTATTTTAAAAACAAGGCAATCTCATAGTCTTTATGTCATGTTATATCCTAAACTTAGAGAACGCAAGGAAACATTTTTCAATTACTTTAGAATGTCCATTAAATCATTCGATGACTTATTGGAGATAATTAAAGACTCCTTAGAAGCTGATGAAAATGCAATAAGATATTGCATTTCACCACAAGAAAAACTAATCGTTACATAAAGGTAAGTCTGTCTAAATTTTATTAAACTTTTATTTACTGAAAAATATTACAAAATTATAACAAAATAAAAAATCAACCTTTAAACTTAACAAATATATGTTGATCTACTTAATAAATTATATGGTGTGTGAATAAGTCTTTCCCGTTTTTTGTAAGAGATGGCGCCACCAATACTGTGCGAGTATTTAATGGTTACATATGTCATAATCAAAGCTTATTCATCTGTCAACAATTCCACACTAACACATTAGTTGAAATTTTTTCGCATCATAAATTTTTGAAATCGTGAAAATGTCGAAATTTGAGCCGAGTCGACGTCATTTGCGGGAAGTTTCACTTTATTGGTTCAATTTGAAGAAATCTGCTGCCGAGGCGCATCGGTTGCTTCAGGAAGCTTATGGAGAAGGTTATGTCGATGATTCAAGTGTTCGCGGATGGTTTCGACGCTTCAAAAGTGGCGATTTCGACGTGGAAGACAAGGAGCGTTCCGGGCGGCCGCAAATCTTTGAAGATCAAGAATTGGCGACTTTGCTTGATGAAGATTCGTGTCAAACGCAAGAAGAACTTGCTGAAGCATTGGGAGTTGACCGAACAACCATTTCCAAGCGTTTGAAAGCCATGGGAATGATCCAAAAGCAAGGAAATTGGGTGCCGTACGAACTGAAGCTGAGAGACGTCGAACGGCGTTTTTTCACTTGCGAACAGCTGCTTCAGCGACATAAAAGAAAGGGTTTTCTGCATCGTATCGTGACTGGCGATGAAAAGTGGATCCGTTACGATAATCCGAAGCGAAGAAAATCATGGGGACTACCCGGCCATGCATCATCATCGACGGCCAAGCCAAATATTCATGGCGCCAAGCTCATGCTCTGTATATGGTGGGACCAGCTAGGTGTGGTTTACTATGAGCTTCTGAAACCGAATGAAAGGATCACAGGCGAGGTCTATCGACGACAATTGATGCGTTTGAGCCGCGCACTGCGAGAAAAACGGCCACAATACTCCGACAGGCACGACAAAGTTATTTTGCAACATGACAATGCTCGCCCACATGTTGCACAGCCGGTGAAAACATACTTAGAAACGCTCAAATGGGAAGTCCTACCCCACCCGCCGTATAGTCCAGACATTGCTCCGTCTGATTACCATCTCTTCAGATCGATGACGCATGGCCTGGCTGACCAGCACTTCCATTCCTACGAGGAAGCCAAAAAATGGGTGGATGACTGGATAGAGACCAAACCGGTCGAATTTTTTCGCAACGGGATTCGTATGTTGCCAGAAAGATGGGGAAAAGTTGTAGCTAGCGATGGCCAATACTTTCAATAATTCATTTGTAACCATTTTTTCACAATAAAGGCTCAAAATTTGAAAAAAAACGAGAAAGACTTATTTACACAAAAACAAAATTACATTCAATATCAAAACAAAATAAAAAATCAACCCGTAGGCTTGAAAAACATTAAAAAACAGTACAAAAGAATCACCTAATATATTAGTTAAATCATTTTTATCCAAATAAATCAAGGTCTGACGACTCTTGAGAAATCTCCTCACTATTAGTAGATAAAGGTGAAGGATTTTCCATATTTTCGTTAAATTGAGTGCACATTTGATTATGACGAAGCGTAATGTATGGAATAGTTATATAATTTGGACGATCATATTGTGGGTATTGTAACGATTGTCGTCTATCGACATCGTACATTATTCCTTAAGTAGGGCACACGTTGTTAAAATGCTGAGTGTGAGGAATGGCAAGCGGGGCCGACTGCTGACCTAAGGCTTTTAGGCAGCAGTTTAAGGTATATAACAAGGACGAATACGTGTAGTGTAGGAGAGTGTGTGCGAGGTGTATGTGCGACAACAGGAGCAGACAGACGACTAGAAGACTCCTCAAACGATCCGTGCAGACATCCACCATCCACACTCACGGCTTGTCAATCTACCTGGATCGGTAACCTTCAGTGTTCGGACTTATCTAGATAAATGTATCTAGATGAATATCTAGATACATTTTTGTTCATCTTTTATCTTATCTAGATAAATAATTACAAGGTATCTAAACGGTTATCTTAGATATTTTTTTACTAATCTAAATGAATTCATCTAGATAGATTTTTTATTGATAAAAATCACGAAATTGTACAAACGCATTTTTAAATTTTTATTCAGATTCTCAAACAAAGTTTATAGCATACCAATCATACCATAGCTCGTAGCTCACAATGTACTATTCGGGGAATTGATGTTTACAGTTAATGCAATTATTGGTTTATTATGGTCTGTGGAGTGTGGACTATCGACAATGATCGTCTAATGTTTATCGACTATCACGGACTATTTATATAATTTCATTATAGTTACAACGACGGACTAAGATAATATCATAATATATATTATGTATATAATACTACTATATCGTAGTCCGTTGATATAAGTTTAAACCTTAGATAAAAACCGGTCGCCGAAGCCCCCCGGCTACACTGCCACAGACACACGCAAATATGCAATACCAAAATAGGCATATTTTGATTTTAGGATTTATTTATAGTTTGGTCGAATGTGCGACTGTCGGCTTCGTTTCTCGATTTGTCAGTTATCATTTATTCTCAGTTTCACTCAACAGTTTAACAGCTCAACAGCTACTGTTAAAATTTTTTGTTTAGTGTTAAACGTAGTGACATTCATAATGAAGCGATTTTTAGTTACAAGTTCTGAAAATAATAAAAAATGTATTAAAGAAGCTATCGATAATCCTTCACCGGCCTCACCCGGTATAAATGAATCAATGGCTCACATTCCTTCGACTAGTTCAACTTCAGCTCAAGAAATTGATAAAATTACAAATAATTATTTGTTTGACGGCACATTTTATAAAGTAATTTCAATTGTTGATAATAAATTTACTGCTGATTGTCAATTGTGCAATAAAACAATACGCGGGCAAATCAATTCCACAGGAAACTTTTTAAATCATATTAAGGTATGTATGCTAATCTTATGTATATAGGTATTATAGGTATTATTTATTTATTAATTATTATAATAAAACAGGTGTTTTACCTAATACAATGAATATTATTAAATTACCATAATTAAACAAATAATACTAAATAAATGTAATTTAATTCAATAAAATTCAATGTTTACATTTCAAAAAGATGATCTATATTGGCAAGATAAATAAATTATTATGTACAAATAGGTTAATAAAATAAAACTGTTTTGTGATTAATGTATATAAATAATTAAAAAAATAAAGAAATAAATAGGTATAATAAGAATATGATCATTTAAAAATTATTACCAGGTAATAATTTCTAATTAATTTTATTATTCCATAATACTTTGTTATTAATTAACAGTAATTATGAGTGATCTTGAAAAATAAATATTTAAATTTTAAGGTATACTATTTTTAATCAGTTATACTTTACTAGATAAATGGCACACTTAGTGATACATGTATTTCAGCATAACAGTATTAAAACTAAAATATGAAAAATCAATAGTTACCGATCAATTTCTATAAAAATATATAAAACAAAATAAATTAAAATACAGTAATCCCTCGTTATCCGCGGTTTTTTTATCCGCGGTTTCGATTATCCGCGGTTGGGTCCCCGATAACATATTATTAATGCGATTGCGAATGCGATAATCGTTATTGCACGAACACTATAGGTAGTAATTTATTTTTGACAATTGTAGATAATTATTGTTATATCGCTAAAGGTATAACACATAAACATTATACATACTAGTACTTATTGCAGATAAACCACAAAAGGTTACCTACACGTGCACGATTAATAATCGTCAATAGCTCAGTTGTAAGGTGATATTTGTGCATGACACGTGTACAGCAGTGTTTAATAAATTTAGTAGTGAAAATATTTTTAAATGGCTTCTCAATGTAAAATGTCAATAAAAAGGAGAAGAAATGTTTTATCACTCGTTCAAAAAATTGAAATTTTGGACAAATTAAAAAGTGGTGATACTGTAGCGTCAATTGCTAAAACGTACAAAATGAATGAGTCTAGTGTTCGAGAAATACGTAAAAATGAAGAAACAATACGACGCAGTGTTATGGAAAGTGCTCCTATTTCCAATAAAACGTGTTTTATCACGCGTGATGTTATGGTGGAGAAAACTGAAAAAGCCTTAAATATTTGGATTGAAGACCAAACCCAAAAAAAAGTTCCTCTCAGTTCTATAATTATACGTGAAAAAGCTAAACAAATTCATCAGCATTTTACAAGTTCATCGCAGAAGACGGCAAAAACTCGTCGTTTCTTGCAAGCAAAGGTTGGTTTGAAAAATTCAAAAATCGGTGTAACCTTCACAATGTCAAGCTAGTCGGCGAATCTGCCTCTGCAGACCATTTAGCAGCTAAGAATTTTCCGTTAGAGTTGAAAAATGTTATTGAACAGGGAGGTTACACACCTGAACAGGTATTCAATGCAGATGAAACTGGTCTTTTTTGGAAAAGAATGCCATCAAGAACTTTTTTATCAAAAAATGAAAAAACAGCACCCGGATTTAAGGCTGCCAAAGATAGACTAACCTTATTGCTTTGTGCCAATGCTTGTGGTTTTATGATAAAGTCAATGGTCGTTTATAAGTCTCTTAATCCAAGAGCCTTCAAAGGTAAAGATATGAATCACTTGCCTGTGTTTTGGAGAGCAAACAATAAAGCTTGGGTCACAGCACAGATTTTTAGTGATTGGTTTAAGAACTGTTTTATTCCTCAAGTGGAGACGTACCTAAAATTAAAAAATCTCCCTTTTAAAGCTTTATTGCTGATTGACAATGCCCCGGGCCATCCTTCCTCATTAGAACTTCAGCATTCTAACATTAAAGTCATGTTTTTGCCTCCAAATACCACCTCAATTCTTCAACCATTAGATCAAGGGGTGATCGCAGCTTTTAAAGCTTATTACGTAAGAAGAACTTTCCAACGTTTATTAAAAAACATGGAAGAAGATCCAGAACTCACTGTCACACAAGGATGGAAAAATTATAACATCGCTGAATGTCTTGTCAACATCAAAGAATCACTTGACGAAGTTCAACCTTCCACTATAAATGCTTGTTGGCGAAAGTTATGGCCGGAAGTTGTGTTTGTCGATAAAATTGACGATCTGAGCATCACTGTGAATCAAATCGTAGGAATTGCTCGGGACGTAGAAGGTTTTGATGAGATAAATAGAGAAGACATAGAAGAAATGATGAATAACTATGATAAAGAGCTTACATTGGAGGAGCTGGAAGAAATAACCGCAACCCAAAACGAACCAAAACAATCTAACCAGGAAGAAGAGGAAAAAGAGCCTGTGAAGCTGGATTTTTCCTCTAAATCAATCAATGAGATTTTTTCATTGGCAAACCAACTGACTGAACGAGTTTTTGAGACAGATCCACTCACTGAAAGAGCATTAAAGTTCAAAAGAGGAATCCAAGAATTGTTGGTGCCATACGAAGAAGTTCGCAAAGACGTAGAAAATAAAAGGAAGCAAACATCTATTACTAATTTTTTCCATCCTTCTTAATAAGTTTATATAGATAATAATAAATAATAATAATAGATAATAAATAAATTAGTTATATGAATTAAAAAATTATTAATTGATTTTTAAAATTAAAAAAATTAAACATAACCTCCCTTTTTACATTAATTTACGGTCTCGTTATCCGCGGTTTCGTTATCCGCGCAGATTTACTGGAACGTAACCTCCGCGGATAACGAGGGATTACTGTACTTATTTATGTTTCAGAACATGCATTCCTCATTATTATCAAAGTTACAAACAAAGAAAAATGAAAAAAAAATGTTGAGCAATGCTAGTCTAAGTGAGACATTTTTTTACTATAATGTTATTCTGATTGTTGCATTTTAGAAAAGAAATTGTTGCTATACTTATGCTTTTATTATTATGTAAATATTAATTTTATTTTTTATTAATCATTAGGTAAAAAAGACGAATCAACATTACCAGATTTTTCGAAAAAACAATTGAAATTACCCTACTCTCAACTATTTCAACCTAAACAAATATCAAAGCAAACTGTAAGTATATTTTTTTAATTTTAGTAACCTAGTTTATAATTGAGGCTATAAATAACTCTAAAATCTTTTTTAATTTTTTTTATAGATTGTCAATTTGGTGTTTGACTATATTATAGATGAAATGAGACCACTGGTAACGTGTGAAAAACTAGCCTTTAGGAATTTAATTATGGGTCTAACTGGTATAACTGATGCCGCTTATCTTCCAGACAGCAAAGTTATGAAGAGAGAATTAAAATCAAGGTATAAATCCTACGTTGCAATGTTAACTGAATTAATATCTAATCAATATTTTATATGTGTAACCGCTGATATATGGTCTTGTAATAATAAGAGCTACCTTGGCATGACTTGTCATTATATTAATGAAAACAATTATAATAGATGCTCTTATGTATTAGGATGTAGACGTGTCAAAGGTAGCCATACATATTTAAACATTGCAAAAGGTATCATTGAAATTCTTAAAACATTTAATATTAACAATTCTAAAATTACACATTGTGTGACAGATAATGCGTCCAATTTTGGAAAAGCTTTTCGAACATTTTCAATGCACTCACAAAAACAAAATGTAGCACCAACAACAATCTCTTTAGAAAATTTTAATGAAAGTTCTGACATAGAATCTGAGGTAGATGATACAAATTCAAATGTTGATGTTGTTGAATTATCAAACATTTTTTTAAATTCTAATGAAGTGGTTAATGAGTATGATGATGATATTAGTTTACCAGAACACCTAACTTGTGCTGCACATACATTAAGCTTGATTGCCACTTCTGATATAAGTAAAATTTCAGATATATCATATAAAAAAATATCAAAATCCGTATTTGAAAAATTACAGTCATTTTGGAATATTATAAGTAGGAGTTCGGTCGCATCAGACAAAATTTATGATATCTGCAATTGCAAGTTTCCAGTACCCATTTTAACAAGATGGAATTCTATGTTTGTTGCAGTTAAAAAAATTCTTGCTAATAAAGAAAAATTGTTGTGTGGGTTTGATGAGTTGAAAATAAATAAATTAAAAATTATTGAATGGAAATTTCTTGAAGAATACTGTTTAGTAATGGAACCTTTAGCATTAGCCCTTGATAAATTACAAGGTGAGAAATCTATTTTCCTGGGTTATGTAGCTCCAACAATAATCGCATTGAGACTCAGGTTGATTCAAGCTTCGCATTTAATACATTGTAGACCATTATCTTTATTAGTTATCAAAAGTCTTGAAAAGCGATTCGATTATATTTATAAATTAGAAACCCCCTTGAGTAAAACTTTTATCTTAGCTTCTATCAGTCACCCTAATTTCAAGCTTAATTGGGTGCCAGTAAGATATAAAAAATTATGTAAACAACTTTTTTCTTTCTGAATGTGACAAAGTAAATGCAGTTGAAAAACTCCAAGAAAATGCATCTGAAGATGAGCATGATGGTGCCAGTGATAATGAATTCTATAATATTCTAAATGGGACTGATGATGATTTTGAAGGATGTAACTCTGGAGATACTGTAGGAGAAAACAGAAGTGAAAAAAATAATTTGGCTAGTGTTCAAGCTCTTTCTTATTTAGACTGTAAAAATAAAGAATTATCATTATTAGATAACTTTCCCATAGTCAAACAAGTTTTTTTTAAATATAATACCTCGCTTCCATCGTCTGCTCCTGTTGAGAGACTTTTCAGTAGTGGTTCTCAAATATTAACTCCTAGGAGGAATAGACTTAGTGATTCAATATTTGAAATGCTATTATGCTGTAGGTGTAATCAAAATAAATGATATTTTAAGTTCATTACATTTAATAATATTATGTAGATACTTGTAGATTATATACACATTAAAAATCCATGTTTTTTTTTTTTTTTTTGAAAAACATTACTACTGTTCATTACATTTGACATACATGTAGATTATTATATACTTTTTAATACACCACATTTTATAATTAATTACTAAGATTATATAATTATCCTGATAATAAAAGATTGTAATTTTGTAAAGTAATGCTTAGTTTTTTTCTTTATTATTATGTTCCTAGTGCCAAACTAAAATACACCTAAATTTAAAATATTTAGTTAATAACTTATTTTGACTTTTGAATTATGGATATACATAAATTGAATTTCACACAATAAATATTTTATTTATAATTTAACTACCTATTACAATTAAAATGCTAAATGATAATTTTATTATTATAACAATAGCATTAATAATATTAATATTTAATTCCAAAAATGTGATACTTGCTTATTCATTAGGTATGTAAATATGCAGATTAGGTATACTGTTCTGTATTTGTTATTTCATTTATTTATTTATTTGAATGTCTTTAAAATGAGGCATGAGTGGTTTATTTATTATTTCATTAACGAATAATAATAATTTTTTACATTAATATAATAAAAAAACACATGAAACATTTGATGTGTTAGGCTATAGCTATATTATATGATAGTATAATATAGCTAGGTATAGCTATAATGCTGTAGACTGTATGGCAACAGTAAATAGAATAATGAAATAAAAACTATATGTTTAGTCAGATTATTTTAAAACCATTTAAAAAAAATTGTACTTATCTTTTTTTTTATCTAGATAAAAAAGTATTTATCTTTATCTTTATCTAGATAAATCTGAGTTAAGTTATCTTTTATCTCTATCTAGATACATTTGAGTTGCATTATCTTTATCTTTATCTAGATAAAAAAATACTTATCTAATCCGAACACTGGTAACCTTCATTCTATTATATAAATCTTAAATTATCTGTTAAATATACATTACATTTTATTCAATTGTGCTTTACTTAAATAGGGTAACCCTGATCTAGTATATTAATATTACACACCGAGGTCGAGTCCCCGAGACCTCGTTAATCAAAACATAACTTTATCGGTAAGAGGACGCGAGAGCGCTTCACGACAGGTGAAGAGGGGACGTTACAGTATGCATATCGTTGCATATTTTGTTGGCTGTACGATGTGGATACATGGTTGGATTTAGAGATGTCTGTACTAGAAGGTTGAGAATGAGTTTGTATTGATTGATTTTTTTAAAGTAGGTTGTAAATTTCGATTTTAGTTTTTAAACGCATTGCATCTGGTACTTTTTTAATTTCTTTGTATAAAGATAAACAAAATAATTAATTATCTTCGTCATCCTCTTTTTTTTTATAGTATTCCTGTGATTTAAACTTGTTTCTATTATGTTGGCAAAGTGCTCATTAGCAGGATAAAGTTTTATTTTTTTCGTTGCTGAAGAGGACTTTTGAACGTACCTTCTTCATTTGAAACTCTGAAACTATCTTCCTCGATCGAATTTTCAGTCGATGATTCTAAATTTTCATCACCGCCAACATCTGCAGTTTCAAAATTGCTCTTCGTAGAATTTTTTTTATGGTTGGCTGTAGAAATTGCAACCTTTTATAATATAAATATATAAATATGACGACTTCACTGCTCCCGATCCAGACTTAACTTCTTTCATTTTTTTTACTTCCTTTACATATGCATCTCGAATACCCTTCCATCTCTTTTGTAATTCTAATCCTGAAACAAACAATCGGATTGTAAACTGTGCCCATGCATTTTTTATGCATTAAAATGTATCCAAAATATCTCATATAATATTTAGCCAAAGTTATGAAAATACACGGAAAAAAAAGTAATCTGTATAGTCTATATATAAAAAATAATCATAAATTATTTTTTTATATTATATTTCAGATACTTGTCAACAGGTTGCTCGATAACCGATTTACACTATAGTTACAAAATTGGAGTATCTACTTTGAGTGGCATAATACGCCAGGTATGCCAAATCATATGGATTAAATTAAAAAATACTGTAATGAATGAACCTAACAAACAGAAATTGAAGACCTGAGGACAACAACAAGACATCTCCATATTTTGGCCAAAATCAGTTTTTGATTGTACATTATCAAGAAAAAAAAACTGCGTCGTTTAGTGCAACAACCAGACAAATCCGACTGTTAAATACAAAGATATCATATAAATGGAGATGTCTGGTTTTTATTTTAGTACAACAACAAGACATCTCCGGAGATATCTTGTTGTTGCATTGGGAACACTGTTATTCGCACATGATCCTCTTGTTATGATTGTGTTAACGTTATCACTGTATTACTAGTGGCGGACTGCTCACTACAATCACACTCGATATTCGATAATAGCAAAATATTATTAATATTTCTAGTATTAAAATATATATAACTGGAAACGTAATAAGTGTAAAAATGCGAATGTGTCTGGGGATGAGCATTATAGTTTGCGTGGGAAACATATTTTACAAAGGAAAACAGGGCCGGATTGTAAGTGTAAAAATAAATGTTTTTTGAAAGTTAGTGATGAAGAAAAACATAAAATTTTAAGTTGTTTTAACCAAATCGGAAATAAGGAAAAACAAGATACGTACATTGCGAGCTTGATAAAAATAAATAACGTAGTAAGACATAGACCAAAAAATAACACTAAACCAAGATCTTGTTCATGTATTTATAAAGTTAGGATAAATCGTGTGTAAAAAGTCGTTTTGTTCAATCTTCGGTATTGGAAAATCTAGAGTGGAAAGGATTGTTAAGTTGCTCCAAAACAACGTACCGAGCCCAGTGGATAGACGAGGAAAACACAGAAATAGAGGCAATATAAAAGATGAACACATTTTATTCCAAATTGATACACATATTCTAAGTTTTCCCGCTCGTCAATCTTATTATAGCCGTTCTAAGAATGATGAAGTATGATATTTATCTCCGGATCTGAATATAAGCAAAATGTATAATCTTTATTTAATGAAATATGAAAATGAAACATGGGAGTTAATGAAAAATAAAAATAATAGCATAAAACCAACAGTTTCCGATCATTTGTATCGAAATCGTTTCTATACAAATTTTAAATTGTCTTTCGGGTATCCACGCTCCGACACATGCCAAACTTGTGATAATCTAGTAAATTTAATATCCACAGAAAATGACGAAAATATTAAAAAAAAAATGGAAACCGAAAAATTATTACACCTATCAAAAGCCGATGTATTTTACAGTGATCTGAGGCACAGGGGGTACAGTCAATTGGTCGTATGAAATTGGTCGTGGTAAAATTTGTCGTCTGAAATTGGTCGTTTTGTAAATTGGTTGTTTGGTAAATTAGTCGTTTTCAATATAATATGTATTTTATGTAAAAAAATATTTGGTCATAATTTTGAATTTAATGTATGTGATAATAATTATAAGTTTTAAAAATAATATGTGAAAATAATTATAAGTTATGAGCTATCCCAGATATATATTCATCAAATGTTCTATTATTAAACGTTTTAAATATTGTATTTATCCTCTCAGCGGTGTCATTATATTTCTTTCGTTTTCTAGGGGTTTCTGCTCCAGTGCAATATTGGACCATTTTCAGACGGTTTAGTTTTTCTTCTTTTTGTAGGGCTCTTATAAATTTCCAAATGCTAGGGTGAATAGCATTCGATATGGATGAAAAACTATTATGCCATCCTTCTACCGAATTATTAGTTTTTGGAAGGTTATATTCATCAACATAGCAATTCCAAATTGTAATTGAAAATGTTGGATTTTTCCTTTTCCCGTTCCTGTCCATTTTACCAACCTAAGCAACAGTTGCTACAACAGATTGAGGACTTAGTTCAGTTTTCTTAGCACGCTCCTTTAAATTTGCCATTGCTCTTTTCGCTTCGATTTTGGCAATATCGGGAAAATGAACATGCGATATTTTGGTTACATCACTTAGAATGGAATTTTCATCTGTATGTATTCTAGCTTTACATTTTTTTTTTAAATTTTCAACACATTTCCATATAGTTTTTTAATCATTTCTACTTTCAAAACGATATAAAAAACCATCATGCACGAGCATATCTTTTCCTCTTTCACTTTTAATACAATTTAGAGGCATATTAATTATTATGTTTTATTAACTCGATTATATAATTATTAGCACTAGACTACACCGTCAATCACAGTCAACTAAAATTTGTAAACACAGTATACACTTTAGAAGACATGAAACATTATTATTTGTATTCCAGATAAAGAACATCCGATAATAGTTGTTCGCGCAAGTTATCGAGTGCGATAACTTCAAATAGATTTTATTGCCGCCCTAATCGCGACTCCTCTCTTCTGGGGTCGATGGCCCTATGATATGCTATTTTAAAACCGATTGCCCGACAGTAAAAACGGATTAGTAGGTCAACGGCCTTCACAATCACATATCTTTACGGAATTATACCCGCCGTAAAGATTACGTACAGATATTGCCCTACCAAAAAGTGATATAGGGTTATTGGCCACTAATTTCGGAAAATATGCTACAACTATTTTACCAAACGACGAATTTACAAAACGACAAATTTTACCGCGACCAATTGTATACGACCAATTGACATAGATTCGAGGCACAGAACTGATGAGGCAAAGGTAGAAGGTAATAAAATAGATGTCTTAGCATTCGATTACCAACAAAACATGCCGTTACCTCACATTCCCTGTGGGGACGTGTTCTATAAAAGGCAACTATGGGTGTACAACTTTTGTATTCATTCTGCAAGAACTGGGAAATCGTACTTTTTTATGTATGATGAAGTAACGGCACACAAAGGACAAAACGAAGTTATTAGTTTTCTGCAATATTATTTTTCGAAAATTATGGACCAAACTGTAGAAAACGTTTACATTTTCTCAGACAACTGCAGTTCACAAAATAAGAATTTTGCTTTGACACAATATTTGTATACGATTGTAACAAAAAATTTATATGGCATAAAAAATATAATACATCGGTACCCGGAGCCTGGCCATAGCTTTTGGCCCTGTGACCGTGCATTCGGTTTAATCGAGAAAAACAGAAGAAAGCTTGAACGAATATATTTACCATAGGAGTATAAAGAACTAGTTAAAGGTACTTGTAAAAAATTTCATATAATCGATGTCAAACAAGACATGATCTTAAATTATAGCGAACATTTAAAACCCCTTTTTAAAAAAACCGTGACAAATAAAGACAAAGCTAATTTTTCTATTTTGTCGTATCGGTTTATTGAATATACACAACGTGGATTATATGCTAGTGTGTCTGTGCATTCAACTGCAAAAAATCATTTCATAATACAGAAAGCAAATACTACTTTAAGTCTACCCGAACCTACGTATTTATTATACCATGGCGCCCTAAAAATAAAAAAAGCCAAGTTGAAAGATGTAAGCGATCTTGCTTCGAAGTATGTTCCAGCTGAATGTTTATGGTACTATAAGGATCTTAAATCAAATGAAGATCAAGAAAATATTGACTACAGTGATGTAGAATAAAAATTGCTTTGTCGATTTTAACTGAATGGTAGGAAGCGTTGTCCATGACAATAACGGAGTTTGGTTTTAGGCGAGGTAGAATGCCCTCCATCCACTCACGAAATATGTCCCCATTCATTTCATTATGGTAGTCACCTGTGTTTTTTTTTTTTGATTCAAAACATAGCAAACTCCAGGTAGAAAACCGTCTTCCGAGCCGATGTGGAGAACAATGATTCGTTTCCCTTTGCCCGAGGGATTAACAGCACCTGTCGATAGTCCTTTTAGAAATGCATCCCGGTTAGATTTGATTGTTCCGTCGACCCACGTTTTCGAAGTACAGTCGCCAGCATTCACCCATGTTTCGTCGAGGAAATAAATATGTCAACCCTCTTCCCGGTATTTTTTGATGTTGTCCAAATACATTCTTCGCCACACAACAATCTCAATTTTTTTCGGTCATAGCACTGTTCCTACTTCTTTTACTATACCGGAAATCTAAGTCTTTCAAAAGGTGAAATAAATTTGTACGGGATATCGGTGGCAAACTGTCGTCGGCGGGTACGGCTTGGTAGATTTTGTCAACCGTAGGAATTTCACGGCGAAACCATATACTGTGAACGTGCCTGCGTACAGCGTTTTTCGCAAAATCATTAAAAAGATCCCGGAACGATTTTTTGTTTCTTGTTCGTTTTGGAATAGGCACAGTGTGTGTCTCCTTGTACGCCTTAATGATGTTGTGGACTGAACGGTCGCTAATACACAAAACTTCGGCTATTTGGCCTCGAATTCTCCTCATGGACATGGTAGGTTCGTCTTGTATAATACATTTGTACATATTTACAACACGGATTCTTAAATCCTCACTTATAATCTGAAATAAAAATATTTAAAAACATAAGTCTTAATAAATTGCTGTCTTGGAGGACATATTTGCAGTGTTGGGTAGTATTCTGAATAAAGTGTTCCAAATAGTATTTCCAAATTTTTAAGTATTCAGAATACTTTTTCCGACAGTATTTGGAATAACTACAATAATAATTTTTTCATTGTTTTCCTGAACATTTTTACAATATCATACACATTTTAAAATTTTAAACAAAGTATCAACAACTTAATTATATTATATTTAGAATTATCAAATTATATATGTTGGCAAATTTTACGTTTAATATTTAAAACAAAAATTTAAAAATATTTTAAAAGTATTTGTAATATTTTGGAAGTATTTAAAATACTTTATTCGGAATACTATTTTTATGAAGTATTTGAATTTTGAATATATGTTCTGAATACTATTTATCATAAGTATTTGAGCATTTATTTCAATTACTTTTTAAAGTATTTTCCCAAAGTGTGCGTATTTGAAATTGAGAATGATAACAGATTTATGTATTATATTATATAATAGGTACTCACTTTTCCACTTTTTCCCTTTTTAATTGGTGATGGGCCATATCCAGCATTATCCTCACTAGAGCTGTCTGCCATGTCAGATAAATAATTCACAAAATAATATAATAAAAAAACTGAGCAAATATCGGAGGGTGCGCGGTGTTTTGGTATGTTGCGGAATGAACGCGTAAACCACTTGTGGCATGGACGCAAGTGATATTATAGTTCACTACGTATACATCTGCTAAATGTCGGCGGCGGCGGCGCTGCCTACATCAACGCCAGCTGGTGGCAACAGACATGCGCGAACGAGACGAGTTTTCGTCAAGCGAGTGGGAATTCTTATTCTGAATAGAGTATAGTACCCACGCAATCTTTCACATTTTTTTCTTGAAACGTATGTAATGTACTTTTTTGCGCTGAAAATAGTGGTGCAATCAAAATTATTTATTTTATTTACAATATTATGATTTATGGTAATTTTATTTTAAAATAGTGAAGAAAGCAATGAAAATATTAATGAACAATCAAATGTCCACAATTTAGAATTATGTGATACTCAGATTAGTACTTTAACTTCTACTTCATCTTCTACAGTTCCATCTCGAAAACGACGTCGTCGTAATAATTTAACAAGTGAAAGAAATGATACATCATCATGCAGTCCTGAAAGAACTGAAATTATTCATCAAGCCGTGGCTAAAATGGTGGCTTTAAATCAATTGCCTATATCGTTCTGTTCTAGTACTGGATTTAATTATTTCATGTCCATCGTAGAACCAAATTACAAGGCAATTAAGGAAGAGGCATTAAAAAAGAGGCTTTATGCGCTAAAAACTGATATAAAAGAAAAAGTAAAAGAAAAATTGCGTTCTGCTCAAAGTGTATCGTGTACTTCTGATTGTTGGTCATCGTTGTCACAACAGTCATATATAACTATAGGTGCACATATTATTGATACACAGTGGTGCCCAATATCATTTACACTCACTACTCATGAGTTACACGAACGACACACAGCAGAAAATCTTACCCAGCAACTGGAGAATACTTTCAACGAATGGGAAATAGATAAAAAAGTAATAGCAGTTGTAACAGATAATGCTAAAAATATTGTAAATGCCGTCACATCATTAAGTTATATTCCTGAAATTTGTAGTAGTACATGTGCAGCTCATTCATTGCAACTTTGTATCAATAATTCTTTAAAAACAGATACGATAACTGAAATAATTCAAAAATGTTCTAAATTAATTGGTCATTTCAAACACTCCAATGTAGCAATGAATGAATTACATAAAAAACAAGAACAATTAGGCTATCCCAAAAGTTCATTGCTTCAATATTGTAAAACACGGTGGAATTCAATTTATACAATGTTGGATCGTCTTTTTATAAATAGAAGTGTAATATTGTCTGTATTAACCAATAGAAGTATAACTACATCAGAAATATGTAGAAAATTGGAGATTACAGGAAATCATTGGTGTTTAATAGAAACTTTGATATGTTTGCTGAAACCATTTTACGTTCTTACAACAGTTCTTTGTAAAGAAAATCATTCTCCCGTGTCTATGGTGAGACCTTTGCTTTATAAAGTTATTGAAAATCATTTAAAATCACGAGATGACGACATTATAATTATTAAAGACTTCAGAAAAACGGTTATAAATGAATTAACAAAGCGGTTTAATCTTCAATTTGAAATTACTAATACAATTTCTGTAAGTCATATTTCAAGTTTTTTAGATCCTAGATACAAGGATCTAGAACATGAACCGATTCATGTTAGAGAAGAAATTCGTAATCATGTTAAAAATTTATTGAATGATATTATTGTTCATCAGCAACAGCCGCAATAACATACATCGATCGGTAATAGCGATCTCAAATTTGTATATTGCCATGATAGTCTTCCTGAGAATGAAATATCTAATCAGTTTCAAGGCTACCTAGCAGAAACACAGTTAAGATTTGACTTTGATCCATTCGAGTGGTGGAAAACACGGGAACATAAATATCCAGCTATAGCGAAGTTGGCATTAAAATATCTGACAATACCGGCAACATCAGTCAGTTCGGAAAGATGTTTTCTACAGCAGGTAATATAGTTACGTCAAAAAGAAGCTGTTTGCTGTCGGAAAATGTTAATATGTTGATTTTTCTTTATCAAAATAGAAAACTATTAGAATGAAAATTATTATGTTTATTTTTTACAAATTATTGTTATTCAATATCACATAACATATAGTATTTATAGGTATAATATTCTAATTATAATTTATAACACAATACATACATGGATATCTGTTTATCTATTAGGATTTATTAAACTATAACATTTATATTATATTATTTATCATAATCAGGGCCGGCCCCAAATACAATTTTTCAACTACCATGCTCATTATTAAAAACGCTCTGTTGATTGTACTAAGTGCATTATATTTATTTATTATATAAAAATTCACTCTTACATTATAATTAAATATATAAAACTTAAAAAAATCTATATTTTATCAAATATAAAAATGTTTACCTTATTACGATTTAACAACAACTTTTTAAATTTACTTGCCGCTTTAGCTGCATCATCTATAACATCATCAAATGATATTTGGTCACAAACTTTTCAATAGACAAAATTGCCATATTGTAGACGATTTTGGTTCATAGTAAGATCTTAAATAGTTTTATGATCTTCAGCTTCAAACTTCTTTCACACGTAGCTGTGGTGACTGAATAGTTAAAATATTCTTAATGCCACTTCAGATTAGGATAGAAATCTTGGAGTGTATAGTGATTAATATATTTTAGTAAATCTAAGTTGTGTGGCGAACTGAAATGAACACATTAATTTAGATGCTTGAGGTAAATTTTCAATTTCTAAAATAATTCAGGACCATCTATATCATGTTCTATTAAGCGCCTCATTAACTAACGTTTAATTTCATCGGATGGCATAATCTTTAAACAATTTCAGTTAAAATGAATTCTGATTTATTTCTGACATTTTCAAATCACACTAAACTTGTTAATGAGGTCTGATTGAAAACACTGGATTCTTAAGTTATTTTCATCTGATACTTTTCCTTCATCGTCGCTTCACATGAATCCTTCACTGGAATCTTACGTTTACGCTTATCTTAATCTGATGAAATATTTACGAACATTTTGCCGTACGTTTCGCCTCATCTAATAGTTATAAATCCAATTTTCTGATTTCTTCAATTGATAATGGTCCATTTATAAGGCTGCATGTAACATCTATTGTTTGATTCTTTGATTGTAATAAAATATTGACACAGTCAATTTGACTCAAAACGTCATTCAAAAGTTTATCAAACATATAAATTTTAAATTAATTTGAATTAAATTTTAGCTTTACCTCTCGTATCGTGTTGAAGTAATATCAGCGCTTAGGGTTTTAATAATTTAAATGCTTTCAATTATTTTAGAGCTGAAACCTTTGTTTTTGTAGACCAGCGTGTACAATGTGATTTTAAGGTAACATTTATTACACTCTTTAACTTTTCCCATCTTGATGTAGATCCAGAAAATAAGTATATACTTTGGACTATTCAAAAATGTAGTGATAGTTGGAGATGTATCTGCTGCTGTACGCCACAAATTCGAACTGTGTGCAGCACCTTAACAAACACGGCAATCTATTTTTATAAAATATGAGCTTTTACACCATATAAATGCCAGCCATATAGAACCATATCGAAGCCTTGGCCTACAATCATTAATATTTAATCCATCATCAAACAGTTTTGTTATTTCACCAGCTAACCCAACACCCTTTTTTTCCTGTGTAGCTATAAAGTCAATAAACGTCTCCTCAATTGTAACTTCTTTATCAATATACGTACGTATCGAATTATTTCTGTTAACTTTCTTTTATGAATGTA